GTAGTCAGCCATAGCCAAGTTAGTCAAATTATTCGAAGTCATATCTCAATAAGTCGGAGTCTCTGCGAATTCTGACTGGTGGGCAGTCGGGTTTAACCTTGACCAAAATATAACCATCAGCAGTAAACACATAAGCCTTCCCTGCAATAGCATCACGGACTCGTTTCAGCAGCTGCTGATTCATCCAAGTTAAATCTTCGTTCACGTAAAGCTTCCTCCCCTTTAATTTCCGTTTGTTTATCATTACTTTGCGTTTGGACTCATAGCTCTTAAATTTAACTATTAACGCCCTCGCGCCATCTCTGTTGGGTTTGCCCACGCGATGAGCTCGATCGATTTCCTCGTGCTTGACTTCAATGCCGAGTTAATTTCTACAAAACTCGATCACAGTTTTAAAGCAATCTTCCTTTGTGTCATACCCATAACTATCAGCCGATGTTGAGTTATTCACCCCGTAAATACGAACGTTGTACCGGCGTGAGTATTGCTCATTTTCGTTGCATTTCTCCTCAAGTTGAAGCACTTTTTCCTTGAGTTTTATTATTTTCTCTTCAAATGGTTTCACCACTTGTGCAATCATGCCCGATAAAGCTTCTTTAAACGAATCTCTCAATAACTCCTTGAAGTCCGAGGACATCAGATATTTTGATATTTCGGATTGCACAACCTCTTGAATATCTGCTTGAGTATTATTAGACCTGGTTTTTACACCAACAAGCAACATTTCCGTTCTTCAAACGTTTTAGTTAGACCACCAGTTTATACAAACAACAATGTGCTTTCGAAATTATTTAAACTTTAGTTTAATACTGGCATTGACTGAACAACTGCCCTGAATTACATATTTGAGGAGTGATCTAAAACACGTCTGCTCGCTACGGTGGTATCGTTATGCCTCTGATTCATTAGCTAATGTTTTATTTGGCTGTGCACCACTTTGGATTAAAATGCACTTTGAAGAAAATACTAATACGGAAACAAATATTGTATATACTGTATATAATATTGATGAATATAAGGAAATACACAAATTACAGACCAACGCAGACTAACAACACAAAAGGACATGCATGTTGAAACATATATATACATGCACTTTTGCTGCAATTTGCAATATCCAAATTCGAATACCGAGCCATATTAAAATGCTCGCATAGCTTCGCTTGGGCCACAATCTACTTTACTGACTGAAAAAATATAACCATGCATGCAGTACATTTTTTACTAAAAAATGCGAAATCAGTTCAGTTGTTGCGATTGGTCGCAATGTTGCAACATTGTCTATGGTTGTTTAAATGAAATGCTTGCTTAATAAAAGCTAACAATTATTTTTTGCCCGATATTTTCTTAAATATAAGGCCCACTATTTCGAAGCTAGATGTAAGACTATTGCGCAAAGTACTTAGTTACACTGTCGTTGGCACACAACAAATTTTAAAGTCTCTTTCACTTCATTAAACATTAACCGCACGGTCTTGTTCAAGAAGACTGAGTTAACTTGACTTTGCAGGTAGGACAGTACCTGGTATGGAAAGTATAAACGCTTGTTGCAAAACCCGTTTTTATACTTAATTTAAACCAAATAAATTTGAGAATTTGGTAGAGCGCCGCTAACTGCACAGAGTTTGCTATTGGGAAACATTCTCAGCATAGACCGCTATTATACTTTAGGACAAATTGTCTTGATTTCTTCCCTAAACCATGTTTGCACTGCACGTGAAAGCGTATAACTTAACCTTGGCCAGGTTTTTGCTTCACTTATTGGCAGACAAGATTATTCAGCAAGTTGCATGTATGATGACATTTTTACTGTAGAAACTCCAATATATACTTACTTACCATGGACTTTCTGTGGGCACACTTTGCATATTTAAACATTTCAGGTGAAAATATTTGTTTCCTATATATATAATTTATATACATTTCAAATGATTTCTTTCTTTCTCCTCTTGTTTTCGCAAATAAACCATGCCCTCTTCTTCTTCCCTGGACTTTCTCTATTGGGATGTAGAAAGTTGGAATAAGTGTATTTGAAAATTTCTACAGCTCACCACATGTGGGATTGCATAGTATGATTTTCATCTGAAAGTTATGAAAACGAATGAGAAGGAATGGGATTCGTATATCCTAAATAAACATACCTGTTTGCACATTCAATATTTGTATCCGGCATATGCACGCTTGTCTGAAAAAAATAAGAATACTAATTAAGATAACTATATAAGACCTCAGTATGGGCATTTAATTAAACCGTCACATTGGCTTAAAAGGTGGCTCAATACAGTTTTTTAAGACAATATGATAGCAATTATTAGATATATAAAAATTTAAACTGACTAGATACGGATACACGTATAGAAGACGGATACACGAGCAATATTTATCTTGCGACAGCAATGCAATTTTGATAAAATCGTTGCATTGCTGTCGCGAGAGAAACATTACTTGTGCATCATGGTCTGTGGCAGCATGGATAGTTAAAAGACTCCTTTCAACTATCCATGGTGACGGCAACGCAATGCCATCCGCAACCACTGCTGAAATTTCAAACAACATGATTTTGGACAGCAATTGCCGGCAATCGAAAGGTGCGCAGAGCCTGAAATAATTTAATGCAAAATGAAATTTGACCGGAAATTTTCAAATTTGGTTGGAAATTTTTTAGTTTAGTTTGATCCTCTCCGTTGAGTAAATTCTGTCAAGCATGCAGTAAATCACTCTACTTGTAATAAACAGCCTATTTAACTGTCCTGATGAAGGGCTTTTGCTCGAAACGTTGAGGAAACGCATCCTTTATCTTCCAGGTCGTCAAATTAACAACAATGAAAGCAGTCACTCTGACTCGTAACTCATGCACTGTCACACATTTAAGTTAACTAAACTTTGTTTAAAGCATACTCTGATCGAAGAAACTTTGATAACTTTCCAGTTGATTACTCTATATAAGACTAGTATAGATAATCTAAGACTATAGATACTGCACTCACTGTGCTGAGCGCCGACCCGATAAAAAAAAAGATTATAATTTTTTTCAACATTTGTCCGGACGAAATTTCCGATCATTTCAGCATTTGGTCGGAAAAACTGCAATTTGGTCGGAAAAGGCTCTGTTGTGGTCAAGGTTAATAATGATTGACACAATTTATTAGAAAATTATTTTGTGACTCATTCAGCTTTACCCCAATACGTTCTGCTGGATAGTTTGTCACAATAGAAGACTCCTCTTCAACTGATTTTTCCGACATTTGCTTCAGAACGTTTTCTTCACAAGTTAAAGATTCTTTTGATGATGACAATAACAAGTGACATTTTTCTTTCAAATCTGACACAAACTTCTCAATAGTTGAAATAAATACATCTTGGCTATAATCTTCTGACACGAACGATTGGTGCAAATCTTGGCCCTCTTTTAGCACATCCAGAATTTCTCCCAACATGCCCGCGAAAATTCATGGTCTTCTGTTATTGACTGTTCAGGTCCATCATCCTAATAAAATTACAAGGATTTACACTATGCCTACATTTCTTCCAAAATTCTACAAAGTCCAAAACGTTAAAGACAGAAATTTGGATGGTTTGATCCGGTTCATTTTCGATTTTATTCCAACCTCGTTTTTCTATGGATATTTCTAATTCTGGGTCACGCGCATCACTCACGAATGATTGTACTTCTTCTCTTGATGTTGAGGGAATATCTTCATCTGAGCTCACACTGTCTGTATTTTCTTTGTTCTTAGTCTCTGTGTCCGCACTTTCAGCAGTCGGTTTCGTCGAAACAACGGTAACTTTCTGAGCAGCTGTGTCAAACAGATTTTTGGGCGCCCCAACTACTTTGTAGCGAATAGCTTTATGCTGTTTCAGAAATCATGGTGTTTTTTTGAATTATGCTTTTTCTTGTAATCAAAATCCATTTCAACACCATATTCTAAACATTTAATTTTAAATCGATTTTTTCGTTCTTTTGGAGGCATCGTTTCGTTTTGTACTTTTGTTTAGCGTTCCAAGACAATATGAAGTATGATGATTTGTCTACATTTATTTATATTCTTGATCAGTAGGGCCTTTCCCATGACTTTACATAATGTAGTAAATCAATTGAATAAACCGTTAAATCTCATACATATTTAATAAAAACCTTCGTATTTTATATTCTGCAGCGAAAACAACAAAATCTCAAAAGTACACTACATGAATATACCCCCCCCCCCACCAAGTTACCATAAAAGGTCAACACGCCACAAATGTCTCGCGTGGCCACGCGCATTACGCATTGTTCGCATGATCTTAAGAGTCCGTCTCTGTAATTTCTGACCACTCGATACTGGTTCAAAAATAAACCTAGCCTTAAACTTTGTGTGTGGATTAAGAAACCCTTGCTTATCATCAATACAAAAGGGGTTTGTTTCAAATTTCAAAAGATTTCGATATTTGGGCAATTTTACGTGTGTACGTCGAAGCACAAAATTAGCATCGCTGCAACACACAAAAATTAGTCATCTTTGTCACGTTCTCGCGCTCTCAAAAATGATTCAATCCGAGATATACTCTGCAGGCCTGCAGTTTATTACACTAGCTCAGCATTTATGAACTCAAACTTTGGATGTCTTAAAACAACTTGGAGATAGTGCCGACTATAAATACGCGGCTAATCGACCGGGTGAAAAAGTAGCATTTCTAAATATATATTTTCTCCATACTGGCACAACTCTACTTATCAAGAGTTATACACGCTTAATAATTACGAATAACAGCACTAGTTTCCGTAAAAACATCCATGGCTATCATCACTGGGACAAAATAAAACAAATTTGAAATGTGAGGATTTTACATACCTGCGCACGCTAGTTACGGCAATTTACATTCATAATTATCCGCTACAAATCGTAAACAATCGCACATCAAATAGCTCGGAACAGTGGCTAATACTGCAAAATGTGTTGAAGTCAAGTGTCATTGTGTCAAGATGTAATGTGACACTGTAGAAAGTCTCGCTTCATCATCTCCACGTTTATATCCGTTTTATTACAACTGTAGTTTTATCCATCTTCCAAATTTGAATCCACACAAAAAACAGGATCCTCCAGAGTACATAACAGCATAACTGTATTCAAATGCAGGCTGGCTGTATAAACTGTTCAAAGTCCATGATGTCCATCTAATTTGCAACAAATTCAAATATTCAATGCGACGTTTCATAGCATGTTGACATTTGCGTTGTCTGATAAACAAACTTGTCAGTTGCATTGGCTGTGGCATTGGTCAGTTGTCGCCAGTGCTTCCACAACCACGTCTTCAAATGTCCTTTCATGATCAATTTTATAATCTCAAAATTTCTCTGCCACCGAAGACAAAAGAAAGAAAATTCAGGCAAATTTGAGTCAATTTATCACAACACATGTTTTAAAATTAAGTTGTACTGTAAGTACCATCGATGCAGCCCCGGCGCAATGCTTGGCCCCAAGTAGGTCACATCCATTTGCGCTTTTGCATATATTAAACAGCGATAATTACACATTTTAGCGCAAAGAATCGACAGTATTAATCAATATATAAAGCTCTCTGTTTTGACGCAGACGAGTCCACGCATAAACTTCGAAAATATAATTACATTACCTGAAATTTTAGACAAGCTTGCAAAAGGAAGTGGAAGCACTGAGGACAGTTCGTTAATATCCTTTATAGCAATGGCTAGTTCTAGTCAAAGTTCAAACTGTGGTTTCTATAATATTCACGAAAAAGCATGCGGATTTTCCAGTGCATGTTTCAAGTGTAAAACAACGCGTAAAAATGTTTGGGCCGAACGGTTGCTTGCAAATGGTAATAAAGATTCTCACGCGAATAGACAATTTTTTATCCGCGACCGCAACTGTTCACCTCTAGTTGCAAGCGACGGTAAACAAGGCGAAAATTGGCAAGTTTGTTTATCATTAGAAAGAACGCAATGTCAAAATAAAGTTCCCATTCAATTTGTTACAAATGCATCATCTTCATGCAGTTTGTACAGCCTGCATTCGAGTAAAATTATGTCTATGGAGGACGCTGTTTTGTGTTTTTATGGCCGCTTTGGAAGTTGGATAGCAGCCATAAACATAGCGCCGCTGTATCGGCATGGAGGTGATGAAGCGTCTTTCTTTCCACAGTCTCGCAACATAAAGAAATCCTTGAAAGTGTTCTCAACACAACGACACTTGACTTCAACACATTTTGCGCTAAGATGTGTAATTATCGCTGTTTAATATATGCAAAAGCGAAAATGGATGTGACCTACTTGGGGCCAAGCATTGCGCCGGGGCTACATCGAGGGTACTTACAGTATGACTTAATTTTAAAACATGTGCTATGATAAATTGACTCAAATTTGCCTGAATTTTCTTTCTTTTGTCTTCGGTGGCGGAGAAATTTTGAGATTATGAAATTGAATGTGAAAGGACATCTGAAGAGGTGGTTGTGGAAGCACTGGCACAAACTTGTTTATCAGATAACGTAAATGTCAAAATACTATGAAACGTCGCATTGAATTTGTTGCAAATTAGATGGACATCATGGACTTTGAACAGTTTATACAGCCAGCCTGCATTTGAATACAGTTATGCTGTTATGTACTCTGGAGGATCGTGTTTTCTTTGTGGATTCAAATTTGGAGGATGGATAGAATTACAGTTGTAATAAAACGGCTATAAACGTGGCGCCGCTGTATCGGCAAGGAGATGATGAAGCGAGACTTTCTACAGTCTCGCATTACATCTTGACAC